TGAGAGAGAGAGAGAGAGAGGAGGGAGAGAATACGAGAGAGAGAGAGAGAGAGAGAGAATACCAAGAGAGAGAGAGAATACCCAACAAAACAAAACCCCAGGGGACCTAGAACTTCATGGACACGCAAATGCTTTTTTTTTAAAAAATATATTTTATTGATTTTTTACAGAGAGAAAGGGAGAGGGATAGAGAGTTAGAAACATCGATGAAAGAGAAACATCGATTCAGCTGCCTCTTGCACACTCCCTACTGGGGATGTGCCCGCAACCGAGGTACATGCCCTTGACCGGAATCGAACCCGGGACCCTTGAGTCCGCAGGCCGACGCTCTATCCACTGAGCCAAACCGGTCAGGGCGCAAATGCTTTTGAGTAAATGTTGAATGTGTCAGACAGCTGGAGTGAGTCAGGAAAGATGGAAAAAGAATGCGCTTGCGGGGAAGGGGGGAGGCATCTTTTAGTTGGAAGAAGAATGCTTTTTGGAAGGTATGGAGAAGGTTGTACATGAAGGGAAGGAATTAAACCTTGCCAAGTGCTTTGTGTGGACTTTTTTCTCTGTTGACTTTCACGGTAGTTTCTTGTCTTCTCAACTCCCATGAGATAATTATAATACGGACATTTACATTTTATAGATGAGAAGACTGAAAGAAAGATTAAACAACCTGTCCAAGCTCATGGTAGTTAGGAGAGAACACAGAGTGGAACCTAAGAATGTCTCACCCCAGCAGCTCTCAGCTCTCCTGTGATGCTTCAGGAGGGCCTCAGGATCTTACATTCTCACTCAACTTAGCAAATTCTCCAGCCTTTGTTTATATAGTAAAAGATCAGGCCTCCTCGTTTTAGTTGCCGATTTTAGTGTGAGTGCATGTATAGTATATAAGAGGATTAAAGAATATTTGTATCTGTGGAGAAAGCCCTATCCGTGCTCTAGGGTAGTACTTCTTAAACTTTAATATGCATATGAGTTACTTGGACATCTTTTATTTTTTAAAAAAATATATTTTGTATTGATTTCAGAGAGGAAGGGAGAGGGAGAGAGACATAGAAACATCAATGATGAGAGAGTCATCGATTGGTTGCCTCCTGCAGGCCTCCCACTGGGGACCAAGTCGCAACCCAGGCATGTACCCTTGACCGGAATCAAACCTGGGACCCTTCAGTCTGCAGGCCGACGTTCTATCCACTGAGCCAAACCAGTTAGGGCAAAATGCAGATTTTGATGGATAGTCTGGGCTGGGGGCCTGAGGTTCCTTTCTAGCAAGCTCCTTGGCATAAGGATGTTGGGAGTCTCTGGATAAGGCCCTGGGAAGCGTTGACAGTTAATCCAGTAAGGGCTTTCTTTCCCAAGCAGAGTTCTTTGGTGGGGTCTTTTCCTGGCCACTCAAACCTCTGTCTTTTCCCATCGTAGGTGGCCCTGGGGTCCAGCTCTGCATCAGTGATGTCCTCCCTATCCTGGCCAAGGTGCTTCATGGCCACAAGGCAGAGCCCCTGCATCTGTGCCACCGGCTGGACAAGGAAACTACAGGCGTCATGGTGTTGGCTCGGGACAAGGAGGTGGCACACCAGGTCCAAGAGCTGTTTAGAACCCGTCAGGTGGTGAAGAAGTACTGGTATGGAGCCCGCTGATAGCGGTAGAGGCGGTAGATGTGAAGGCATCCCTTTCTTCTATTTGTGCATTCGTACAGCAGCCACTCCTGTTAACAGGAGGCAGTGTGCTAGGACCTGTAGGCATTGGAAAGGTGTAGGAAGCAGACTTAGTGCTCTGATAGAGTAGTCGCTCCTAATAATGGCTATACGTGAAGACCATTGAAAATTAATTTATACAAGTAATACATGATTTCTGCGGTCAAATAGTCAAATGACAAAAATAAAGCAAAGAACTCCCGGAGAATCCATCCACTCTGTCATTTCTGTCCCTTCCCTTGGGGCAGTTTGCTTTTTATTCCTCCCGTCCTGTATCAACATATTTATGTATATGTGTGTAGTATATACAGTATGTATGTATGTGTATCTACACACACACACACACACACACACGTATGTGCGCATGGGTATATCACATTGTACGACGTACATTGTACTTTCTTTTCCCACTTAACTCTGTGTCTTGGGGATCTTTCCATGTTAGTGCATACAGGGTTCCCTCAGTTTTTAATAGAAGAAAGATACAGGAGCAAAAATGAAAGCTACTCCTGTCCCCCATCTACTCGGTTTCCTTTCCCAGAGGCAGTCTCTATTGCTAGAGTCCTGAATGGACTGCCCGAGTTCACGGGGCATGGAGAAGCGTGTTACTGTGTGGCAGCGCATTTCGCATTGCTTGCATCCCGCCCTTCTCACGGGGACAGTGTATCTCGGAGAGCGTTTTGTGCTTTTAGACCTGGCTCCTCTATGGCTCTATCGTATTCCATGGTGTGGACACACCATCATTTCCTCATTGCAGATGTTTAGGTAATGTCCCACTTTTCAGACCTTTTGCGGAGAATATGTGAGTATATCTTCAGGACAAATTCCTAGAAATGGAATTGCTGAGTGGAAGGTACATACAGTTTAAAATTTGAATACTTAACTATCCAAATTGCTCTCCAAAATGGGTTTGTCAGTTTCCACTCTCTCCCCCAGGGGTGAGTGTTCACCTCCTCTCTTGTCTGACCAAAGCGTTTTTAAAAGGATTACCACTCAGATGGGTAAAAAACAAAAATTTTTTTTAAGGGTGTTTTATTTTCAGTTTTTATTGTTGGCAGTATTACAGAAACCCCCCATTTTCTCCCACTTGGACCCCGTCCACCCTGACCCCACCCCACCCCAGGCCTTCACCACCCTATTGTCTGTTGACTGTCTTTCGTGTTTATTGTCTATTTTGAGTTTCCCTTTCTGTAAACAGACTTTATTTCTTTTGCTCACTTTCTGTTGGGTTGTTTATTATTTTCTACTTGATTTGTAAGTATTCTTTTTGGGTGAGATAATGCATGTGAAGTGTTTAACACAGTACCGAGCTCATAGGAAAAGCTGAAAGATGGAAAACCAAGACTATTATTATGTATGCAAATAATCAAAATAAAAGTCTATAAAAAACTGCTATATTCTTTGTGAAAATCGTCCATGAAAGTTCAGAATGGGTAACCATTCTCAGTAATAGGCTTCACAGAAGAGTTGAAATCAATTAATTGGGTCTTGATGAATGAATAGGATTTGATCGACAAGGTGAAGAAAGGTGTTGTAGATTGTGGGAATGGCAGGCACAAAGGAGTGAGGCATACAGTCCAGTCGGGTGATGAGTGGTGGCAGATAGAGCTGGGAAGGTAGGCCAGAAGGTGCAGGAAGTAGAAGTTGCAAGTAGAACATAGGAGGAACCATTGGCTAGCTTTTGCCGGTAGCAACTTGTTATATTATAGCGACTTGTTTGACTCTTCTTACTAGACTGTGAGTTCCGTGGGAGCAGGGACTTCTGTCTTGTTCATCTGCATAGAATTAGTACCTGTCTGAATCAGGGCCTGTTCACATTCGGGGAATACTCACCGACTGGGCGTTTTTGAGCAGTGATGTTAGGTCACCAGAAAGGATGCTCTGGTAGTTACAACTCAGGCTTAAGTGGGATGACGTGTCACAGCCGCCCCGACGGTTGTCAGCCTGAAGTGGGCGTCCAGGATGTGAAATGTGTCTGAGTGGGCTTTGCCTCCTTGGTCAGTGACTCCGGGGTAGGCCACCTAGAACCAGGGGACTCCTGTGATTGCCCTGGAAGAGGCTTGAGCGTCAGGACAGATTAAATAGCCCTCTGTCGGACTGTGACCATGACCGTGACCGTGACCGTGACGTGGCGGGGAGAGGCCTCCGACAGACTGATCAGGAGGACTTACTGAGTGTGGCTGTGGTTTCCGGGACTTCTTTGCGCACAGTTCCTCCCTGTCTTATCTGCCTGGCAAAACAGGCAGGAATGGGCCTGCAAGTTTTTCATTCAGCTCATTTATTTGTTTCATATGCAATCAGAACTTACCACCTTTTATTATTTACACAAAAGAGGATACGAAAACCACACTAATTTTACTTTAAACTGTACGTACTCGTTTTTAAAGGCTGGCATGAAAGACCATGTTATCGGTATAATATTTTTCTGTTTCCCCTCCCCATATATTCTACAATGAACATACGTTCCTTGAGGACTAAAAGAGCTATGCTGTAAGAAGAGTATCAAGCTCTCAGGCCAAGCCCTCTACCACGAGATGGTTTGGGCCCCTCTGATCTTAGGCACGGACCGCAGCAGGTCCGCTGTGCAGACCTCCAAGCAGCCAAATCCAAGGAATGCCTCGCTCGCTCTTGTGTCCCCCCAGGGCCATCACCGTGCGCGTCCCCGTGCCCTCAGCAGGCGTCGTGGATATCCCCATCGTGGAGAAGGAGGTGCAAGGGCAGCAGCAGCACCACAAGGTGGGTGAGCCGCCTCCCGGGAGGACAGGTTTTCTGCTTGTCCGTTGAAATCACATCTGGATTTCTTTGGCTTCAGATGACGCTGTCCCCAAGCTACCGCATGGACAATGGGAAGATGGTGAGAATGCGGACCAGCCGGAGCGCGCACGTGGCTGTGACGCAGTACCAGGTGCTGAGCAGCACCGTCTCCTCGGCCCTGTTGGAGCTCCATCCTGTTACTGGTGAGGGTGCTGCCATTCCACGGTGGGAGGCGCCGCTGTCCTGCAGGGTTCCCAGTGCTGCTGGGCTCTGCCCTTCTGAGCAGCTGGTATTGTGGGGGTAGAATTGCAGCTGACTTGTTGGAGAGGCTGGGAGCTCCAGGAGAGATAATAGTTAAAAACAGTAGGTAGCTGTCTGGCTGGCGTGGCTCAGTGGTTGAGCATCGACCTATGAACCAGGAGATCAGGGTTCGATTCCCGGTCAGGGCACATACCTGGGTTGTGGGCTCGATCCCTAGTGCAGGAGGCAGCCGATCAGTGATTTTCTCTCATCAATGATGTTTCTATCTCTCCCTCTCCCGTCCTCTCGGAAATCAATAAAAGTATATATTAAAAAACAGACAATAAGAAGCAACAACAGTAGATAGCAATGAGATATAAATAGTTTGTTTACACTTATTTAAAATAGTGCCAAGTGGTTCCTCAAAAAAATTAAGCATAGAATTACCATGTGATCCAGCAATTCTACCCCTGGGTATACATCCAAAAGAATTGAAAGCAGGGATTCAAAAGATGCTTGCACACCAATGTTCCTAGCAGCACTATTCACAGTAGCCAAAATGAAAGCATCCCAGATGTCCACTGACAGATGAATGGATGAACAATGTGGTATATCCACACAGTGGAATATTATACAGCCCTAAAAAGGAAGGAAATGCTGACACGTGCTGCAACAAGGAGGGACCTTGAGGGCAATATGCTGAGTGAAATAAGCCAGGCACAAAAGGACAAATATTGTATGACTAGAGGCCTAGTGCACGAATTCATGCACGGGTGGGGCCGTCTCTCCCAGTCCCGATTGGGGCAGCTGGCCGGGGGGAGGGGCTGCGGGAGGTTGGCCGGCTGCAGGAGGTTGGCTATGGGAGCGCACTGATTACCAGGGGGCAGCTCCTGCATTGAGCGTCTGTCCCCTGGTGGTCAGTGCGCATCATAGCGATCGGTCAACCAGTCGTAACGGTTGCTTAGGCTCTTATATATATAGATTCCAGTGATATGAGATACCTAGAGTAGTCAACCTAATAGAGGCATGGTGGTTCCAGGGGCTGGAGGGAGGAGGAGATGGGAAGCTAGTGTTTAATGGGTACATTTGCAGTTTAGGACGATGCAAAATTTCTGAGATGGATGGTAGTGCTGGTTGTACAACAGTGTGAATATACTTATGGCCACTAAGCTGTACACTTAAAAGTGTTCAAATGGTAACTTTTATGTTATATATATTTTGCCACAATAAAAAAAAAAGTAAGATAATACTATTGTGTTATATAATAAAATTATTTTTTGAAAACCCCAGCATGGCAAAGATAGGCACCAAGTTGATGCTAATGGCTGTCTGTGGCAGAAAGGGGACAGTGAGGGGGAGGGGAAATTGCAGTATTTATAATGTTTACTTCCTAATAGATTATAGGTTGTTAATACTGTTCTTTATACTTGAATGTAGTTGGGGCTTTGCCAGCTTACTGTGCTTTGAGTTAATGGATTAGAAGCAGATGCTGCCGGGGCACTGTTTCTGTTGCCACTCACAAGTCTCTCTCTCTTTTTCTTAAAGGGGTAAAACATCAGCTTCGCGTTCACCTGTCTTTTGGATTGGATTGCCCAATCCTTGGCGATCACAAGTACTCGGACTGGAATAAGTTGGCCCCCCAGGTAACATGGGTTTGACCCGAATTGTAGCCGACTATGGGGCAGAACTTGGGCCTCCCCGTGCGAAACCCCTGGTGAGTCACAGCAGGACGTACCGAGGGGCGCCAGACGTGGCAGCACCAGTTACCGGCGTAGGGAGAACAGGAGCAGCCCGCTGCTGCCCTCATGCCCCTCAGGGCTTCAGCAAACCTTTCTGCTGCGTGATTTGTCTCAGATTTTGGGTTTTTTAAAAACAACATATATTTTTAATGGTTTCAGAGAGGAAGGAAGAGGGAGAGAGAGATAGAAACATCAACGATGAGAGAGAATCATTGATTGGCTGTCTCCCCCAGGCCCCACACTGGAGATCAAGCTTGCAACCTGGTCATATGCCCCAACTGGGAATCGAACCGTGACCTCTTGGTTCATAGGTCGACGCTCAGCCCCTGAGCCACGCCGGCCGGGCAGGTCTCCGGTTTTGTTAGGAGGCTGTGGGGAAAGGAGGCTCTCTCAAGGCTCGTAGTCACCTTTCATGCTGCTGAAGAGCATGCTGGGAGCTTCTTGTCTTGGTGCCCAGCCCATTCCGTGGAGGGCAGAGAACTGGCCATTCGGGCCTCCCTGCTGTGGCGGGGTGCTCCTACCTGGGTCCCCAGCCCTTCCTGTTGGTGCTTCTGCGGCAGGCTGCCATGCTGCCTCTCCCGAGGGTGCTCCTGTCCCGGCCTCCAGTGCCAGGCTTCTGACCTGCATTGGGTCAAGGGTGCACTGTTGCTGGCGCCGCTCTCACAAGGCCTCTGTTCTTTGTGCAGAAGCTGTCTGCCGGCACTCTGCGGAAGCTGGGGCTGCCACAGTCGAAGGCCCGCCACCTCCCTCTGCACCTGCATGCCCGCCAGCTCGTCCTGCCTGCCCTGGGGTCCAGGAATGAGGAGCTCAGCTTGGTCTGCAGGCTCCCTCGCTACTTTGTACGCTCTCTGAGCCGCCTGGGCTTAGAGCTGCCGAGTCAGGATCCAGACGAGCAACAAAGCTGAGCCTCTGGGAGCTCAGGGGAGACAGCTGGGCCCCTGGGAGCTCCGGGGAGACAGCTGGACAGTGCGCACTGGCCCTGAATTCTTCCCTTTGTTGAATGGACGTGGCTGACTTCTCCCATGGGACAGACTCCAGAAGAGCCAAGTGAGGAGTTGAAGGACCCCAGCTGCTCACGGCTTTTACTGGAAACTGAAGTGTATTTTCTGCTATTGGGCCACATTCTGGGAAAGCCTGTGGGAAGTCTCCCTGCCTCGGGGTCATCTTGCCAAAATGGAAGAGAGCCCAGGACCAGGCAGGTGGGGTCAGTAATTGGAAACGGAGAACTGCAGCGCAGAACCTGTGAGCAGGCACTTTTCACCCAACAATAAAGCTCTTGGTCCACCAGGAAGGCTCCTGTGGTTAGAAAGCGTGTGGTTGGTGCTGATGGACGGAGAAATTCAGAAGCGGCCCGTCACTGTCTTCGTGGAGCTGCGGGACATGAGCAAGCCCTTCTGCTCCGTTTTCCGTCTCAGGTTTTGTAGACACAGAATTCAGGGATTCCCTCCAGCCCCAGCCTGTGAGCCGTGCTTCACCAGTGGTCGTGGGGCCTGGGACGGGTGCGTGACAGCAGGAAAGCGGATAGAAATGCAGGCAGATAACAGGAAGGAGTGGCGTGGGCAGGTGTACACGTGGCGAGGGCACACACGCTGTCTGAAGAGCGCATTTGATGGCTCCGTCTGGGTGTGGCTGTGTGGGAACAGCTGTTAAAATTATTTTCAGAATCAGGAAATCCAGATGTTTATGTGAAATCTCCCCATATGTTGCTAACTAAAGCAATTTAAAAAAATATTTTTATTGATTTCAGAGAGAAAGAGAGAGAAACATAAATGATGAGAGAGGAACATTAATGAGCTGCCTCCTGCATGCCCCACACTGGGGATCGAGCCCGCAACCCAGGCATGTGACCTGACTGGGAATCAAACTGTGACCTCCTAGTTCATGGGTTGACGCTCAACCACTGAGCCACGCCGGCTGGGCCGTATATAAATTTTTATGTAGATGCATGTTTTCATTTCTCTTGAGTACACTCCTAGGAGTGCAATTGCTGGGCCATATGGTAACTCTTAGTCTGCTTAACACTTTTTAGAATTCCAGATTTTTCCAAAGCAGTTGCACTATTTTCCTTACCAGCAACAATGCATCACGGTTCAGTTTATCATCAACACTTGTTATCACCCATCTTTCTGATTATAGCCATCTTGGTGGATGTGAAGTGCTTTCTCATTACGTTTTTATTACATTGAGGAATAATTGACATAAAACATTGTATTAGTTGCAGGTGTACAACATAATAATTCACTATTTGTCTATGTTGTGAAATGACCGCCACGTAAGTCAACATCCATCACCATACAGTTACAAATGTTCTTTTCATAATGAGAACTTATAAGATCCATTCTCTTAGCAGCTTTAAAATATGCAATAAATACAGTATTATCAAGTATAATCATCATGATATACATTATATCCCCATGTCTTACTTATTTTATAACAGGCAGTTTGTACTTTTGGACACTTTCACCCATTTTGCCCAACCCTCACCCCTACAACCCACCAATCTATTCTCTGTATCTATGAGCTAGGTTTTTGTTTTGTTTTTTTATTCTTTTAAAATAAATTTTTATTGATTTCAGAGAGGAAGGGAGAGGGAGAAAGAGATAGTAACATCAATGATGAGAGAATCATTGATCTGCTGCTCCTGCAGGCCCCACACTGGGGATCGAGCCCGCAACCCGGGCATGTGCCCTGACTGGTGATCTCCTGGTTCACAGCTGGTCACTCAACCACTGAGCCATGCCAGCCAGCCGGGCTTTCTGTTTTGTTGTTAGATTCCATATAATAAGTGAGTTTCTAGGATATATTTGTCTTTCTCTCTTTGACATTTCATGTAGCATGATGCCCTATTTTGTTTGAAGAAATATCTATTCAAGTCTTTTGCCCCTTTTAAAAATTATTTGCCTGTTTATTATTAAGTAGTAAGATTTCTTTAAAAATTCTGAACACCAGTCCCTTAACCAGATATATTACTTGCGAATATCTTCTTACCTTCTGTGGGCTGCCTTTTCACTTTCCTGATTATATTATCTGCAACATGAAGGTTTTAAATTTTGATGTTTAATTTATTTTTTCCTTTTTGTGGGTTGTGCTTCTGGTGTCAGACCTAAGAAAACATTGCATAATCCAAAGTCTTGGAGATTTCCTCCTATATTTTATCTAGTAGTTTTTTAGTTTTCACTGTACATTTAGGTCTACCATCCAGTTTAAGTTCATTTCAGTGTATGATGAAAGGGTCCAAGTTTGCATGTGGGTCTAGCTATTCCAGCACCAGTTGTTGAAAGGTTATTCTTCCCCCCATGAAATTTTTTGGTAAGCTGACACTTTTTAAAAATTAATTTTTATTGATTTCAGAGAGGAAGGGAGAGAGAGATATAGAAACCTCAATGATGAGAGAATCATTGATCAGCTGCCTCCTGCATGCCCCACACTAGGGACTGAGCCCACAACCCTGGCATGTGCCTTTGACCAGAATCAAACCTGGGACCGTTCAGTCCACAGACTGACGCTCTATCCACTGAGCCAAGCCAGCTAGGGCAAGCTGACATTTTTTAGGGTTGTGCTGGGTCGAATATAAATAATTTCATAGGGCACATTTTAGTTTTATTGCAGTATTAATGTGAATGAAGCAAAACAAGAAATAACGGTAGTTCCTGGTCTGACCACGAGATGGCAGCAGCCCCCTAGGTTTGATCCCTTTTCTTGGGGAGCTACTCTAAGTGGGACTAGGTTTTAGCAAGTATAGGGTATCCTACACAAAAGGATTGTGCTGTCTTTCTCTAACCTCCTCATGACCCTGACTTCAGCTACCCCAACGAAGTCAATTTCGGTCCCTACTTTTTTAGTAGAAAACTTGTCGTTTTCTGTTCTCTGGTGGAATGAGGTAGTAGGGCTTCCTGATTGTGGAGTGGATTTGAAATAGAATGTGACTCACAAACACTCAACCGTAAAAGTACTACACGTTCTTGCTAGGAATGTGGACGCATAATCAAGCTGCTCTCAACTATCAAAAAGCCTCATGGACAGATGCACTTACTACCACAGCTTCGCTAAAATGCCAAGAGTTCTTAGCTCTGGGCTGGTTTTCTTTGGGCTCAGTGTAGTAATGATTTCCATTCCTCCTGTTGGTCAGCCCTGGTCAATAGTTGAGATTTTGACTAATTTACAGGTCGAAATATTATAGAATAAATAATGGAGGGAAAATAAGGGTGACTAGTTTGGAAGCCACGATGTATTAGAGTTGCAGCAAACGTGTGTCTGGCGCCCTGCCCTTCTCCGTCCTTCCTGGGTGGTGCTCACCCAGGGCAGGCTCGCCCTGCCTCCCGCTGGACTCCGCCGCTCCCACCGCCTTTCTGACGAGGATTTAGGCGTCCTCGGCCCTCACCTCTCACCCACCTCCCACTGCATGTGTGGGCCTCTGAACCCCAGTGACAGAGCTAGCTGCACACCCCCTCCCCTGACACAATTACCCAGCCTGCCCTGGGGAGCTGTGAGGGTGGGGGCAGGGAAGGGGCGGGCAGCAGGGGGGCAGCCTCCCCCACGCAGGCCAGCGCTGAGCGAGGAGGCTCTGCTAGCCTGTCTTTCAGCACTTGGGAGCTGTTCCCATCCGTCCATCAGCAGCCTCCAGGAGCCAGGAGTGATGACCTGGACCCATTCAGGGAGCAGAGCACGGGGAGCGGGCCCCCACTTTGATGTGAGCCGGCGCGAGGGAGCAGGAGGTGAGGGCCAGGTGGAGGGTTACCTAGACAATCTCCTCTCCCATCACAGGCTTCCAGAAGCGAAGACGCCAGCCTGTCCTCTCCCCTCTGTCACTGCCCCTTCCTGGGCCCTCTGATCTCCCCACCCAACCAGGCTGCTCCGGGCCCCTTGTCCCAACACTTCAGCCTGTGTGCTGACTGTGGCCCCATCACCCGCTCACACACCTCTTTGGAGGGGGAATGAGGGACATGGTTGGAGGGGTGGCTGGGGACCAGGGGTGCTGACAACAGAGCCCCTGGGGCGGGGCCAAACCATCGACTTCATTCTAAGGGGTGTGCGGTAATTACTTCATTCAGGAAACTCCCAGATCTGAGAGCCAGGAGAATTGTCCCCGTGCAACCAGGGATCTCAGTGTGGGGAGGGGCTCTCTCTGCCTTCGTTGCTAACAGGCAGCTGCCAAGGACTCACAGCGAGGAGCCCAGCATCTCCTGGGGTTCCAGCCTCGCTGTTGGAGGGAGAGGAGATGGAGGACAAGGACAGACGGACACACACACACACACACACACACACACACACGCACCAGGGCCTCCTTGAGCCAGGCCTGAGAGGCTGCCAGCCCATCCTGGCCCAGCCGGGAGTCTGGCCTCTTTCCTGTCTAAAGTTACAGAATTTTCCAGAAGTTTCCCTGTTTGGTTTTCTTTTTCTGGAGTTATAAACCAGATTTCCCCTTTCTCCCCCCGCCCCCTTTTCTGACCTAGGGAAGAAAAGCCAAAGAGGGAAAGACAGGGCAGGACAGAGGGCCTCTGAGCACACCCAAGGCTGACCCTTCCCTTCCCCGCTCCTGCGCTGGGGTTCCAGGAATTTCATGGTAACAGTAGCTTCAATAGTCAACGTGTGTTGCCCATGCCGAGCCTCTTAGGTGTATTAGCTCATTAAGCTCCCAATCCCAGCCTGTGACTAGACCAGCCGTGGGCAAACTACGGCCCGCGGGCCGGATCCGGCCCATTTGAAATGAATAAAACTAAAAAAAAAAAGACCGTACCCTTTTATGTAATGATGTTTACTTTGGATTTATATTAGTTCACACAAACACTCCATCCATGCTTTTGTTCCGGCCCTCCGGTCCAGTTTAAGAACCCATTGTGGCCCTCGAGTCAAAAAGTTTGCCCACCCTTGGACTAGACCATTCTTCCTAATTGTCATTTCTGAGTTACAGACGAGGGCCGGGAAGCCCGAGCTTTCATCGGGTGAGGCAGCAGAACTAGGTTGTGACTCAAGCCTGGCTCTCTTTGCAGCCTTTCTGGTACCTCCACTGCCGCCCGTGTGGCCCAGGTGACCTCGTGCAGCCGTCCCAGATCACACTGTGGCCCTGAAAAGAGAGCAAGGTGTGTGCCTGGAACGGGAGCACCTCACAGAGGGGAGCCTCTCACACAGGGGAGCACCTCACAGAGGGGAGCATCTCACAGAGGGGAGCACCTCACAGAGGGGAGCATCTCACAGAGGGGAGCATCTCACAGAGGGGAGCACCTCACAGAGGGGAGCATCTCACAGAGGGGAGCATCTCACAGAGGGGAACCTCTCACAGAGGGGAGCATC